AGAAGCCAAGAGCTGAACAATAGCTGCTGGGATGTGTGTCTTCTCTTGGTGAGCAAGGATCTTAATAGCTATGTAGGAGCAAGTCCTCTTCTTAAAACCTAACAGTGCAGGAAAGTCTGTCTCAGCTAAACTGATTCTGGAGGTTTTAAAAAACAGAAGTCTGTGCTTTTTGTTCTCTCTCTCTTTTTTTTTTTTTTTTTTTTTACCAGAAAGGGAAAAGACAGAAATTTTGGAGACAAGCTTAGTGTTATTGCCAGTACAAATTACCAAAAATCTTTATGGTTTCTAGAGGTGACACTAAACATGACAATTACTTCCTACGCTTACTGCTATGTGATCCTGGGCTGATGAAGCTTGAAATGTATATGCAAAACCAAAGCAGAAAAACCTTGACTTGTTGCTGTGTCTTCCTTTTATGGAGAAATGTGGTGTTTTGAATGGACAATGGGATATAGCTGAACGGGTTTAAAGCTTTGACTTTGCAAGAATGTGCCATGTCAGAGCTAGAAATTGCAATTGTTTAAAAGTATGGTGCTTGGAATAACTGTTTTTAAACTCCACTGTACAGATGAGCCAAGGGGGAAAAAAAAGGATTAATCAGTTTTAAGACTTGACAGTGTATGAGCATCATTATATCATTCAGCATATTCTAGGCAAGTAATACCACCCATCTATTAGCATTATTGTTGAAGACAGACATGCTTCTTTCAAAGACCTACAGGCATTGGAGAATTTTCAGAGTAGTTAATTGTCCTTGTTTTAAAATGTTCAAATCATGTTGCCATGCTATTTTAAGCTTCAATTGCTTCACATTCCTACCGTTTTGCTTAGTTAAGCCTGTATTTGCAGGCTAGACCCTATGGATGTCATGACTTTCTTCTGATAAACTTCGATGAATTTTGGCAGTCCCAAATTGAGGAATTCATTCCTCTTTAGGAAAGTGCTTATACAATAATGTAATTTTAACTATTTCCTTGCTCAGGATGTTTTCACATTGTGTTTTCTCTAGATCCTGAGAATGTTTTTCAGAGCTCTTGCGGGAACTATCATAATATCCATAGAGACATTTGTGCCATCTGATTAACGGTGTTAGCCGCTCTTTCCAGAGTCCCCCTCTCCTAACCACTGCACTAACAGTGCATGCAAATTACTGCATCCTCACAGATGCTAATTCACTGCTGGCATCTCCTAAACATTCCTGCGTACCCTCTACCCACAGCTGGCCACTCCAAGAACTCTTTCTGACCCCACTTTTGCAGAGAACATCCTCATCCCAGCCTTGACCAGCAGCCATCCATGCTCCTTTAGTGGTCCTCTGGTGAGGTGATGAGAGTGCCCTGTGAAGTCCAGGGCAGTCGAGCTGCCTGCATCCATCAGCAATGCAGCACGTGTTAGGCAGTTGTTGTGTATTCCTCACCTGGCTAATGGGTGGGCATCCTGGCTGCAGTCCTCCCACCGTGCACACGGCTTGTACCGCACTTTTGCCTGCAGTATTTGGATTTCTCCATCTGCTCGTTCTTGCTGTGCAACAGTTTCCCCAGCGTTGCTGTAAGTCAGACCACAGGTATCCTGCACTCAGCTGCCTGTTTCACTCTCTACTTCAAGAACCCTCTCACTCTCGGAGTCGCAGGCAGCAAAACCACACTTACAAATGATAGTTCCTTTTCCACAAGTCTGTGTGCCCACACCTTGCTATCGGTTTCATCACCATTATATGTCATTTTGATACCTAGGCTTCCTGTTTTTCAAGCTCAAAAAAGCATTTCTTTGTCGTCTTTTTAGTAGTATTTTGCTTTCTATCTTCATGGTTTGGCTTATTTTGTAAACTAGATGTGTTTTTTTTCCTGTAGTATTCACATCAGCTATGTGGACACAGGTGAAATTCAATTTTCAGTGCCATTGTAGTCCCTGTGGCCTCAACATGTAGCTGCTTAGTTCTACTAATCTCCCACAAAATTTTCAAAATCATTGCTTTTAAGGCTGCAAGTAGCCTTGTGTTTGAGTGTAGTTTTTCCTTCTAGATATATGTCCTTGCTTTTGGCTGCATTAAGTACATTAAACGTGGCTAACTAAAGTTTACTGAAGTGTAGTAAAGCCTGGGAACATGTCGGCTCTCTTATTGCTTGGATCTGCCATGTAATTACTAGTTGCCTCTTGTCTGACATCTTGTAGGTAGAATTACAATTTACATGGAAGTATTATGCTCCATGTCTAATCCATTTAATTTGTTTAATATAATTAGAAGACTTCAAGACAAAATAGGAGTAACTTTGAGGATATTTTAAAAAGCCATCAACGAATCACTGTTATTATATTGATGGAAATCAACACCATTTTTTCTGCCTCATCAATTCCAGAACTTGGTTAGCTAACCTGAAAAAACTCTTTTGCACATAAAATAAAGTTCTTAATTTAATTTTTTTTCCACCCAGCTTTTTTTTTTCCTGTGATTATCCTAAGAACACTTTGAAAGTGTATCTCATAAATATGAAGGACTGTTCGCATAATCTAGTATTGGTTTTTAATTTACTGCAAATCCAGATCAAAAGGAAGCAACATTGAAAGCGCTGCAAACTTTTATATACAAATACTTTGGTTCAAAAATTAACTACTATTTAAAAGCATGAATTTATCATGAAAATGCATCTGTGATTGCAAGATTCAGTATTGTGTGCCCTGATCACAAATAATGTTAACTAGGAACGCGATGCCTTTTCAAGTATAAAAGAAAAATAAATACTATACAACTTAATTGTAAGAGAGAAAGGAGGTTACAATGACCAAAGAACTGAACAAAGTGAGATGCTGTAGCTTAGTTACCAACTTTTCAAATATTAATTATCACTGACTTCATTAAGGCATGTTAAATGTCCTTACATGCAGTAACTGACGGTGCAAGGCTTGTTTACCTCACAAAAAAAGAAGCAGCAGACACCAGCAGTTGGCAAATAAGCCCAGGTGAAGTACAAAACAAAACCATGGGATATGTTCCTTGGTTGGCTGGCAGCTGCAGCAAATTACTTAGGGGGCTGGGAGGATCCTCGTCCTTCCATATGAATTGTAGAATCTTAGAACATTTTCAGCTGGAAGAGACCTTCAAGATCATCAAGTCCAATATTTTCCTAGCCCTGTCAACACCTAAACCATGTCCCTCAACACAACAGAATCATAGAACACACAGAATCATAGAATCGCCTAGGCTGGAAGGGACCTTAGAGATCATCTAGTCCAACCTCCCTGTCATGGGCAGGGACGCCACCTCTCGACTAGACCAGGCAACACATGGGGACCGAGCGGGAATCGAACCAGAAGATACAGACTAAACACACATAATAAACACACTGGAGTGTTTGACTAGATGATCTTTAAAGGTCACTTCCAGCTCAGCACATTTTATGATTGTTCTTAGGGCAGCAGTAACTGGATAAAATTCAATGGATTAGAGAAAAAAGTGAATAACTGACTCCCACCTATGAGTTAGAGGCCCCACATTGCAAAAAAACAATTAAGAGATTATGCACAAGGAGTTTAGTTAGGAAACCTTTAGGAAATATTAAGAAAGATTTGGGGCGACTTAAATGAAGCTAGCAGTAGTAGAAATTTTGACTTTTTCACATTTCCAACTATTTTCTTTTACACTGAGCTATAACTCTCCTCTGTCAACCTCCTGATGCACAAAGGTGTTGATAAATGTATTTAGATATAACACTGTTATGTGATCTAGACCTTTATTATAAAAGTAGCATGAAATATTTTACTGTCATTTCCAGTTTTAAAGTCTATGACTGCAACTGAAATATCTGAGAGCGTGACTACTCACAGAAAACACCAGCCATGCAACAAAAACGTTATCTGAGAGAAAATATATTGGCAAAGGTCTTCCTTCAAAAAATACACTTAACCATGGGCCTAGTTTGGACAGTACAAGTCTTAAACACTGTAAAAAAGTTTGTGGGTGGTTTTTTGGGTTAGTTTTGGGTTTTTTGGCTTCTCCTCTTCAAACGAAAACAAATCATTAAATCATTACTGATTTTTTTTTGATGGCCAAAAAAAAGATCCATTAAGTGGGAAAGTGACAGATAGGCTTTGAAAAGAAAAATATCATCTGCCCTGGCAAGTAATTTCTAGAATATCCTGTAATTTTACTGTCCTAAATATCACATGTCATGGAGAAATAGTGAACTGGTATCTTAAGTCCTGGTCAGGACGTCAGATAAGAAAAGAAAAGCTCTCAAGTACACTTTCTGAGTCTGCCACGGTAAATGGGGTGTGTTTGAAGAAGGAGCCTGGGTGTGCCTGGGACAGACATCTCTGCCTGAGCTTGTCACAGTGGCCTGACACTAAAGCCACTGGAGAGGAAGAGACACGTGTGGGACAGGAGTCATGCAGGTGCAGCACTGTGAGTGTCTCCAAGGCTGGGTGAGACGCAGTCCATTCTGCAAGATCACATGGACCTCGCACCTCAGACATATCTTTCAAGAGAAATAAATAAGAACTTCATTAAGTAGAAGAATATTTACAAAACAGAAACAAAATATATACTGGAATGCACTTAACCTCCACAAAAGTCAGCTCAAACTATTACAATAGGAATGAGACCTAGAAAAGACTGCGTTGTATCATGATACATGAAATAGTCCAGCAAAATGTCATTTGTTGCTTTTTATTTGCTAAAAACAAGTGTTTTCAAATGCTAATAATTTGTTTTGGTAGGAATTACAATGTGAAAATCATAACAGCATCCTGTATAAAAATACATATACTTTAAAAAACAAGATAATCTCAAAACCATTCTATTTTACCTTAGAGGTTTATGATGGATGCCAAAAATCACTTATATCGTATCTGGAAACTGTTACAAATGACATATAATGAATAAGTTTTTCAGCTGTGATGGTTCCAAAAATTTCATTGCATTAAGTGTTGTTTGCTTCACCGAGTCCATCACTCTCTTTGGCAAAAGAGATTCTGCATTTTAGAGTATTTCAGAAAATTACTATTCAGTCTTCCATTTCTACGTGCAGTCCCCATTGTTCCTTGAATTGCAGGAGATACGTTTCTTGGTCCTCTGATGACTCATCAGATACCTCTTTCTCATACAGTCTGGACAAAATTCCCTCTTTGTCAGGATCATCACACTTTAACATTCCTTCACACACTTCATTCTCAACACTGGACAAGGTAGGAATATACAGTCTTCCAGTGTGAGGATCCCAATCTACTAATATGACCTGTTCACCCCCTTTCTCTGTGAGGCCCTGCGCTAGTTTTTCCAGCTGACAATAGGATGTCTGCCCAATTTTTTCAGTCTCCAAGTCCACCAAGTTGATATGGGCCTCCCTGTCTGCTGGATCAACCATCTTCAAATTAAGTTTCTCTATTTTCTGTCCCGAAGGAGGATCTGCTACCCTCGCCTCTAGCTGGGGACAATACAGCTGTCCTATTTCCCTATTAACCAAGTCGCCCAAAGCAATCTGTGGCTCACCTAGGAGTTCCCTGGGCACACAAGTCTTCTCTTCGCGTTTCTGACTGTGACTGAAGTCTTCAGTCCTTAAATCATGTTCATACTCTACTGTCCCTGTGTTTTCCTGTCTTAAAGTGTTCTTTGTTCCAGGCTGGCCATAAGATGGCCAGTTCTCACTTTGGTCCCCATCTGCTAAAGTATTCTCTTCATGTGAAATATCAAGCAAGTGTTTTGTTTCCAGTGTTTCTTCTGAGGGCAAATCCTTCCCTTCAGTGCCATTGTAAACAGTATAATAATGGGGAGGTTTCCTTTCTGATTGATGATTGGATTCCTGAGATGGCCTATTCTCATCCACATTAACGGTGATAAGGTTGATGACTATTTTCTCACGTGGCATGAAAACCATTTCCTTGCATTTGTCAGTGTAGTGCCATACCTGGAGAGCAAAAAATATTTTGATGAGTGAAGTACAATAAAAATACCATCTCACTGCTTCTTAGCCTTATATTTTAAAACAGTATGACAGTATATGCTAGATCTTATGAGGAGGTTATTTCAATGTAAGAAAGAAGGAAGTTGATCATAGAAACCTCCAGAAGTGTTAATATGCTCCACTTTTTAAAAAAGTCTACATTATGACCAGCTCTAATATCCCTTTTCTTATCCTCCCTATGTCAAAATAATGATTAGAACATTTCTGTTAAATTCTGTTTTTGTGAAATTCCATTTTTGTTTCCACCAGCATAAACTAAAGTAACTTTGGAGAACACATCAGAGTTGTCCTTGGGTCATGGATTAGAGAACCGATTCCACTCTTAAACTATTTTTTTTTTTTAAACTAGGAAGTGCAGTGAAAACCACATCCCACAAGCACAGGGTCAGATACCATGTTAAGCTATAGCTTAGAGAGAAGTAAATAGTATCAGGTTTCCTTTCAGAGGAGAAGCTACACACTGAAGTACAAAAGAAAAACAACAATGAGAAGCTGCACTTCAGTGCTTCCAAGCTTGAATAGAAGACTAAGATCACTAATTGAGGTACAAGGTAGCCCACAAGGTCCCCCAGGTCAGAAGTGCTGGACCAAAACAAACTGCTTACTCCACTTGCCCCTGACCACATGGTGTATCCATGCAGAACAGTCTCTAGGTTGGGAAAGCCAGACAGCAGCATTAAAATACCAGGTCTATATTAATTTGTTACCTTAAGATCAACTGAACCCAGAAGTGGAGAAATAAAATCAAAGCTTTGAGGTGGTCATAAGATAGCACAACAAACATTAAAAAAAAAAAGAACCTCAACATGCAAATTACACTTTAATTAGAGAAAAAAAACCTGCTAGAATTGGAGTTTAGTCTGCCATTGAATGCAAATTTTTCACTAAGTTGTCCTTTACGTTCTTGGACAGTAAAGAGCTCTGTCCAAGGGAGACCAAGGCATCGTCCCCCACCCTGCCCTCCATCCTAGGATAAAAAATAAAGAATGACTTTTTACCAGGGCTTGTAATGACAAGGGACAATGGTTTTAAGCTGCAACAGGGTAGCTTTAGACTGAACATAAGGAAAAAATTCTTTACTGTGAGGGTAGTGAGACACACTGGAACAGGTTACTCAAAAGAAGTTGTGGATGCCCTATTATCGCAAGTGTTCAAAGCCAGGTGGGAGCAAGCTGGGGCTTTGAGCAACCTGATCTAGTGGGAGGCATCCCTGCCCATGGCACGGTAGTTGGACTAGATGTTAGATGATCTTTGAAGGTTTCTTCCAGCCCAAATCACTCTGATTCTGTGATAAAGCTGGTGCCTCATCAAATGCAGGAGGTATCTCCGTGCACATCTGAACACACTGCAGCAGTAGCTGCTCTACTTCTGAACCCAGAGGCCCTCTGCAAACATTACTCCTGTCATCACTGTGCTGCTCTAGATTTCTTCAGAAAGATTAGCATGTTGAAACCAGCTCCCTTACAACTCCCATCCCATGGTGCCATGCAGATTGGATTAATAAAGTGTTCATTCATTATTGCAAGTGCATGTTTATGGTTGAGCAACTTCTTTAGAGACAGCTGTGAGAAAGTTCTGCTGGACTCATGAGCTGGAGACAAGTAAAATTTCTTTTACCTTATGTGTTCTTTCTAAAAATCGACAAACTTTGCAGCCCTAAGAAACCTGCAAACATTTTTACTTAGCGTATTTGGGCTGTCTGAATGCCAGGATGTGTTTGTTCATACAGTGTTGGATATTAGGAAATGGTGCAGTGTTTGAAAGCATTCTTGAAATCTATATTAAATTATTATTCTTGCATTTAATGAATCTCAGTTGTGATGTTCTTTTCTTGGTTTCCTCCTAGCTGACTCGGACCCCCGGAAAAGGCAGAGCGTGAGTGCCGAGGTTGGCAGTGACCTCCTGCAACAGAGAACACTTACCAGGTTTGTTGGATGTTTCTGTTTGCTGATGTGAATATACCTGTGCACATAATAGCATGTCATTGAAATAAAAAGGACAGCCAGCATGATAGGCAGAACATATCCAAATAGGATTGTTATAGTCTCAGCTGCCGTTTTATCTGTTAACAAAACAAAAGTTTTCATTGTACTGAGCAACTCTTTTATGTATTCTGGTATTAATGTGTGCTTTTTCGATACGGGGTGCAAAATTTTTAGATAAATAAGGAATTTGCAGGATTTTTTTTAGAAAAAATACATTTGAGCTACAGTACAATTTTTTATTATCTAAATTATAAATTATATCCCCAAAAAGAAGTTATAAGCCCTCCCTCAGGTTCTCCTGTTGCTAACTTCAGACTGACCTTGCTCTGCCACTCCCAAACCTCATTTCAAAGTGAAAAAATATTCTCCATTCACTAAGACTCAAAGAATGCAGATCCTTTTCTTCAGATGTACTGATGTACCTTCTACTCAGTAGATCCGAGCTATGTTTTATTAAACACTTTTTCATCAGTACAAGTGCACAGAGACGGGAGAAACAACACTAGCGTTCACTCTCAAAACGGATTAATAAAAAACTTACAAACTTAATCACTACAATTTTGTCTAACTTGCATCTTTATTTTTGTAATTTGCCATCTTACACATACCTTTCAGGGTAGCAATGCAATATTCTTTGGAGAAACCACTGTGCAGAAGTGGTGTGATGACATGTATCTGTGCGCTGACACAGTAAACCGTGTCAGGTTCTAACTGCGGCACAACTAAGGTGTTGTTGCTGATGGAGAAGAACCACTGAAAGACATTAAAAAAAAAAAAAGATATTTTTTCCCCCCTTTACCTCCTTAGTTACTGAAAGGTAAAGATCTTATACATAAAATATGTTAAAAGCACACACATTTTCTGGAAAGAATAATGGATACTGTAAGAACTGCCAGCTGCATCCTTTTTTTTTGAATGCAATCAAAACTCAAGTTATTCATTAGGTCACATCCTCTCTAAATATTTTACCTTCCTTTCAATCATTCTTCTGCCACTACTGAGCAATTTCATGCTTTATATCAAGCAGGACCATGTGCCACCACTAGCCCACATTCTCACGCTGATATTGCAATAGAGCTAAAGCATCACTCCAGCCCTGTCCCGACACATAGGCCAATAAAAGGCACAGGGTACAGTTCCACAAAACCTTTCGAATTGTGATGTTCTGGTAAGGACAGAAGCCTTAGAATAATGGGTGTTTTGTAGACCTTGGAGTCCAAAGTAAAGTAACTGCTGTATGTCAAGCACCTTTATGACCCCTCTCCCCTCTAAAGAAAACCCAACCTCCCCAAAAAAAGCAGAAAAAACTTTTGTCTACCTCTAACTGCTAATCTTGACATTTTAATATCCCTTTTGACAGAAGGTGACTTTTCTGGTGTGAAGTTTCTTTTCAGGAAATTCAGAGATTTGCCAGGCAGACATTGCGCCCGGAGGACGGGATGAGAGGAATGAATGTGTTCGTGACTGAACTTCTCTGCATCTACTGTGTTCACGCTGGGAAGCACTACTTGCTAATGAAATGTAAATCTGCAGAGACACACAAATGAGGATACTCAGATGTGGTGACAAAAGACATGCTTTGTCATAACATATTGTGAGTATCGCCAGTAGACGGACTGGCTGAGGAGCAGCCCTGATGAAGCGGGCTGGGGACAGGCCACAGGCTGAACACGAGCCAGCAATGTGCCCTCACAGCAAAGGAGGCCAACAGCATCGCGGGCTGTGTTAAGAGGGGAAAATGGAGGGGAGGGATTATCCCCCTCCGCTCAGTGCTCATCTGATCACATGTAGAATACTGCGACTGGTTTTGTTCCCCCCAACACAGAAAACACTGTCAAACTGGAGTGGGTTTAGCAGGGATGGTTGGGGCTGGAGCACTTGGCTTGTGAGGGACTGGAGTCTGCCCCTGGGGAAGAATGCATTGCTTTGGGAGAACGTAACAGCAGCCCCCCAGTGTGAGCCAGGGAGGTCATCAACAAGACAGAACCAGGCTCTTCACAGTGCTGAATGGTGGGAGGATGAGAGAAAATGGACATAAATTCAAAAAGAGAGGTTCAGATTGGAAGAAATACTTTTTCCCTATGAGAATAGTCAAATGGTGCAACAGGTTGTGCAGTCTCCGTCCTTGGAGGTTTTCAAGACGCAACTGGACAAACTCTGAATGACCTGGTCTGAGCTCACAGCTTTGAACAGTATGTTGGACTAGAGACCTCCTGAGCTCCCTTCCAACCTGAATGATTCTACAGTTCCTATAAGGCTATGAATCTTCTTTCAATCTTACTATTACAAACCAAGTGCATTTAAAGAAACGCAGATTTAATAGATGCAGTTCTACAGCCTTGTCAAAGCTTACCCGCTTCTTTGTTTTTTTGTTGAGGATGGACACGTTATATTGCAGGCCAGGATACACTTGAAGTAGAGATATGGATTCTCCCTCAGGGCTCCTCTTCCACTTCTCAGGAGCAGTCAGAAAGATCGAAATAGATTTCTCAGTAGAAGATACACTTACCACGGGTGGATCAATTTTAGCTAGAAAAATGAAAACATACAAAAAGCAGTCAAATGCAGCAGAAGCACACTGATTTGACCATGCAAATTCCTGTGGATGATATTAATTTTTTGTAATGTTTTGGAGGGTCTAAGCAGGACTTCAAACAATTCATTTATATTGGTAGAAAATCATTTTACTAGATAACTAAAAGGATCTTTACAGTGAGAAGAGGAACACTGATTTAGAATTTTGCCTAGGAATTCCTATGACTTCCTAGGATAAAAAACCTTGAAACTCAGTTTGCTATAACAAGCTAAATTGTCAATATGTTCCCAGATTATCTAGCACAGATAAGGGATATTGTGCTTTAGAGCATGATTACTGCCTGGCTTAATAGATCCTTTTTAAAATTCGAGTTCTTTATACTGTGGGCATTCTGTGGCCACAGAATAAAACTTCACCATAGCATAAGAGAGTACTATGTTCAGCTCTGGGGCCTCCAGTGTAAGAAAGATGTAGACCTGCTTGAGCGGGTCCAGAGGAAGGTCACAAAGACGATCAGGGGGCTGGAGCACCTCCCCTATGAGGACAGGCTGAGGGAGTTGGGGTTGCTCAGCCTGGAGAAAGAGAGGCCTCCAGGGAGACCTTATAGTGGCCTTCCAGTACTTAAAGGGGGAAGATAAGGTGAGGGGTAATGGTTTCAAACTGAGAGTGAATGTAGATTAGATATTAGGAGGAAGTTCTTTACTGTGACAATGGTGAGGCTCTGGAACAGGTTGCTCAGAGAAGCTGTGGATGTCCCCTTCCTGAAAGTGTTCAAGGCCAGGCTGGATGTCCCTGCCCATGGCAAGATTGGAACTACATGATCTTTAAGGTCCCTTCCAACCCAAACCATTCTATGTTTTTATAATTCTACGATATATAAGACTGTATACACAACACACATATATACAAATTCTGTACTTTTCAATTACTTCTGCCAAAAGTATAAATGTTAGACAACTGCAAAAAAAAAAAACTAATGTCATGTTAAACTTAAAATATCGTATGCTGTGAAGGCACATGCAGTCTGAGTACACGGTATTAATCAAGGCCATCGAATATCCAGCTGTGTGATTAGCTTTCCTTACTGTCTGTAAGGGGGTTGAATCTCGTAGTCTCTATCCAGTCTGAGCACTTCCCATTTAGGAAGGCTTTAACGCTTGCATAGTATTGGTCTTCATAGTCAGAGGTTTCATCGGAGAGGTCACACCATGTTCTGTTGATATTCCTGCATTCTGGCTTTCTAATCCATTTGCCAACACCATATCTATATCGGAAAAGAAAGAGAAAGGAGCTGTACAGAAGCTACTGCCATGATATTAGTCATCTGATAATATAGCCCAGAAACTGATGTTACAACTAATAAAACAAATTGCTCTTCTTGCAGAAATCTGCAATTTCAATGAATTCCTAACTTCAGCTGAGATAAAACACAAGTTTTCCACAAGTTTTTAAAGAAAAATAAATCAGAGGAGGCTCTGTGAAGAAGAGGCCACATGGAACTAACTGGGATGTTACTGATACCAATCTAAGTCCAGTTTTGTTTGCACAGACCAGAGATCTCTCAACTTCAGTCTCCACAGTTTTAGTTTATACTCTAAACACAAAATAACAGAGTCAGGATAACTATTTCTATAAAGGTAAAGAGTTCTGTCAGAATGGTCAGTGGCTCATTCCGGAGATGGATGATGCTCAGGGTCTCCAAGATGAGTGGACAGGAGACTATTCATTCCTGACTGTTACTTCTTTTTCTAGTTTAAAAGAAAGAATACACTGGAATACAATGAACTTCAAAACCCTTCTCATTGGGCATACATGTGCTACCAACAATGCCTCAGTACTGACCAGCTCTTATACGTTAGCAGAAGAAATCAAGATTTCCTTAGAAAATCCCTGCCTAGGTTTGCTCAGAAGCTCCTGCTCCTCAAATTCACATTATTAATAACTACTCTTTGGCTGCTAATTAGTAAGGGGGTGTGGCAGCTTCTACAGGACTGCAAAATAGTATCAGTCACCAGCATTTTCCAGATAGCTCAAGGCCTTGCTCTCCTAGATAGGTGGAAGTACAAACATACAAATATAGAATCATAGAATGTTAAAGATTGGAAGGGACCTCGAAAGATTGACTAGTCCAACCCCCCTGCCAGAGCAGGATCACTGAGGGCAGGCCACACAGGAACACATCCAGGTAGGCTTTGAAAGTCTCCAGAGAAGGGTATTTTTGTAATCAGCACAAAAGACGGCCATACCTGTGACTACAAACTCCTCCATGGACCAGCTGACCCTGCAGAGTCAGCATAGCTTGTGCTCTCGGAGCATTTTACCTTCTACACAATTACTGTTTATTCCACAATTACTGAGCACTCTCCCCTCTTCCAGGAGGTGGACTATGTTGCTCCTCTGTTAGCACAGAGAGCAAGATCTGAGAAGTCTCTAATGCAGAAGCAAGACCTTGCTGGTTTTAGTAGCCAGTTCAAGTAACAGTAAACTTCTGGAGGTCTACATTTGTTTTAGTGGCAGGAAAACATTACTAGACTGAGGGAAGTGTAAATATTAGAGGTAAAAATTGGGGACGTTACACCATCCATGACGACAGTGCTACACCTATTCATAAGCTAAACTTCCAGCACTGTCCTTCAGAAAGACCCAGTGCTCTCTCTGTAGCAATAAACGAAATGGATTCTGACATCCTCACTCAGGTTCCTCGATAGCCTACAAAGGTGCAGACCTGGAAAATATAAAGGCCTGATTTCAATCATGTTACTTGGTTTTCTACAACAGTTGGTAATTTCAGTGGATTTTCTCCTAGACTAGGCTTGTGGGATCAGAAGAAATCTGTGAGGGCTGGATCTCTTAGAAAACGGAAAACTAGATGCTGTTAATGTTCTGTTAAATACTGCATCTCCAGATCTGTCTAAATGTGTACAGAAGGCTAATGTGTACAGATGCCAATCCACAGCACAGCCTTCCTTCGTCCTTGTGTCTCATTTCTCAGGGATGCCCCTGCAATCTTCCATGTTGTATCCCACCCTTCTTTCATAGAAAGAAAGTCTCCCTACACTTTTTTTTCCTAACTGGATCTGAAGTGAGAAGTACAAGAAGTAAAAAACCATATTGCTCAAATCTAACCCACATTTTAGTTCTCCTTTCTTTACTTTTTAGCAGCCGTATCTTGCAGAAAGTTTTTTAAATTATTATTTAAAATGTTAGAATAAAAGTCAGTAGGGGATAAAATAAACAAGACAACTTACACTGAGTACTTCACCTTGTAGAGTACCCCATCTCCTGTGCCTTCTGGTGCTGACCAGTGAAGGACATTTTTCATGTTTACAGATTCAAAATGGACATTCCTAGGGTTAGGCAAAGAACAATACAACTCTCCTGAGAAAGAAAATAAGAAAGGAACAACATACACTAAGAATCTGCTTCAAAGTTAACAAAAAAAGATACTTATTTTTAAATAAGCCATAAAATTCAACATACTTCCTTTCTTATCATTACAAAGTTGTTGGCCACAGAAATAAAGTTTTTTCAAAAGTGTCCCTAGCTAGTGCAGTCTCAAATTCTATCCATATGAGTGTGTTTCTTCCCTAGCAAAAATGACTTTGCCATGTATGACAGACATTGGCATGGAAATATCCAGGGACTGGAAGCTAAAAGATAGAGAGGTTTGGCCTAGAAGAGATACAATTTTAAAACTGTAAAGGTATTTGAATAGCAGAACAATTTAATGTTGGAAACTGTAAAAATATCCTCGATGCATCAATGGACAAACAAGGTAATTTAAAAAAAAAAGACTTGCGGAGTCTACTCCACAAAGATGGCTTTATGACTTCACGCTAGAGAATCAGGCAGGATGATCACAGTAGCCCCAGCACCATCTGATCATCCACGTTGATTCTCTGGAAAGCCAAAAGTGAACACCTACTGATAGGTCACTCCTCTAAATTGCCGTTCATTGCACCAGCTTTTGAAATTAATAAACAAGCAAGCCTTACAATCCCTCACTTCATGTCTTCCTAATACCCACACCTGACATAATAAATTTAACAGAGGTGCACACATTCCTAAATTGCTTGTGAAACGGAGGCCCGGGGACAGAATCCCAAGCTCCAAGCTTTGGCTCCTCCTGCCACAAGACCTGCGCCCATGGGAGCAACCCCACGACCAGCCCTGAAGCTGCAGCTGTAGGGAAGGAGCTTCTCGTTGCCAGTAGCCACAGGAACGCAATGGGGAAGTCACTCTGCGGTTCTTCAGGACTTTTCAAAGCCCTTTAAGCCCCTCCTCCAGGGATGCAATTCTAGTTCTTCAGATAACAAAAAGAGACAAAGAAGGGGGGGAAAAAGCGTATTAACACATCCAGCGGGCAACTGCCTGAATTAACAGTCCCTGACTTTTGTTACTTCTTTAAGCAGACCTTGAGGGTTTTTTCTAGTATATTTCAGTATTACTAGAGTAATAGTGCTCATCCTCCTGTATATGTAACACATAGTTGCTTTTGTAAGTAAAACTCACCACTATTTTCTTGGTTAACTTGCTGACTTCAGGCTGTCTTTGAGCCAAACAGTAAAAGCTTTTCTCTTCAATACATTTATTAAAATAATCTCCTTGCAATTCTGTGGAGACCAATTACTTTAAACTGTCTCAGTGGAAACTGTGGGTTTTCCAAGCCTCTGGCTGTGGGTTAATGTTGAGAACAAACACTGGTGTATGCCTGCATCTGTGTCTTTGGATCATAAAGCAGTTTATGGAGGGTATTTCTAACATTGCTTTCTTTTATCTCTAGCATTTAGCTAGTGTTCAGCAGCTTTAAAATTTTCTTCTAGTTGAAGAACAAGTTTTGTCAAGTATAGCCCTTAGGGCAAGCTTATTTATTTAGAAAAAATATATAAAAAGTTCCATTTCCTTGAACACTTTGACACAGAAATGCCCAGCACCAGTCAACTGGCAAGATCTCAAACTATGGACTCAGTTCTAATGAAATAAAGTTTCAGGCTGCCAGGGGATGTGAAAGCAGCAAAAATAGACCACCAGAAACCTGCTTTACCCTAACATTTGCTTCCAACTGGGAGATATAGAACATAGAAAATAAAAGGTTTTGATGTCCCCCAAAATAAACATCCTCTGCAACTGCTTTAGGTGAAAGTAATCCAAATGTAAAGATGAAGGTACCCAAGAGAGACACGAAGAGTCTAAAACTGGCAACATCTGTTCAGTAAAATAGAGAAGCTTCTAAACCACTAATGTGCATGATGCTAAGAACAAAACAGAAACAGCAGAACAAAACAAAAAAACCTCAGCATTACATGCACTACGAGAAATCACCCATGCACAAAGTTTTATTCTTTGCACCACATCCCAGCACCAAAGTGCATGAGACTTCAGGAAACCCACCAACTACATAATGAACCACTGGGAATAAGAGATTGAAAAAAAATTAAGTAATAAAAATTGAAAGCACACAATGCTACCCAAGCATCCTTACATAAGGCAACCAGGCAATCTGTGGAGAAAGGAGGAAGGGACTGAGGCACAAATAAACTTTCTGCTGCAAATTCCAAGTAGGAGAAAGATCAGGTGCAGAAGAGCTAAAAATGTCCCAACAGCTCACTTTTCACACTTTTTTTCTTTAAAAGTTTTTAAAATGTGTAATGCCTATCAGGCTAATCCATAGTCACCGAACTGAACTGGCTGGAGGCAGTCAGCTTATCACCAACAAGGGAAATTACTTCAATTGGTTTTCTCAATAGTTTTTTGTTTGCCTGTACCTTTTGATATTTGTTCATTCTGGCATGAAAACACTTGTATTCCTTGAGCACATCTTAAAGCAGCAAGAGTAATGCATTTGTCTGTTACATCAAAATATTTTTAAACTAGTAACATGCAAAGGTGGTTTTTCTGCCACTATTTTTTTTTTTCCCAAAAGTCCCTCCTCCCAGTGTGGTTTTTGCTGTGGTAAATGAAGTTTCAAAACAGAAACACTGACTGCAGCAGATGAGCCAATCTCAGCACGCAGAACCCACAGACTACATCTTTACAAGATCTAAAGCATTACAACACTGCCGGAGTGCTCCCACCTGCCCTCGACTCTGTGTGATTTGGAAGGCAGAGGGACTGAGACCGTTAACTTTCCATTTGCTGCAAAGGCAGAGATTTGGTTCCTATTTCTGGTCTTGCCCCTTTAGTAAGGGCTTCAGCTTACCCTTACATAAATCATGCAAGCTCGGTTTTGTTGGGTTTTTTTTATTCCTCAATTCTGCACCTGTAAAACATGAATAAAACTGCCATGTTCCACTAGTTCTTCAGGATGATTTAAAAGTAAACTCCTTCATGTCTATCTGACAATCAACAGTATCAGGAGGCATGCGTAGAAAATAGATCATACATAGAGCTTTTATGTTCCATGGTTATCAGTCATGAAAGCACTCAAGTATTTCAGTATCTTGTCTTTAAACACAAAGTATGTAGTTATATTTTTATTTTATTTCCATTAACCAGGAATAATGCCATGGGTGTCACATGAAGTATTTTCAGTTTGTACTAGCCTATGTGAGAGCAGAAATCAGTCATACATGTTGCTTTGCTAGGTTTAGTGTGTCTTATCGACAGTCTGCAATGGCTGTCATCACTTCCCAGTACAACCAAGTCACATTACTTATTGCTTGCATGGAAAAACCCTTATTACTGTCTTTGGAAACACTGCAAATCAAACCTTGAGTAATATCATTCTTTACATCTTCACAACTCTGCACACCTGGATTGGAAAGAAAGCAATAATGTAGGTTTGCAAACTTCACCACCACAAGGAAGAGCCAAGTCCTGATCTTAGAATAACCTATTGCAAGACTCTCCAAAATAGACATGACTTAGCCCGAAAACACCTTCACACGTGAGTGAAAAATCCCACTGACGTCAGTGAGATTATTCACATGAGTAAAGGGCTGCATGACAGGTGCCCCATCTACCTCTTTATGAAAGCGTGTGCTGTGTTTAAAAAACTGGTGAGATGTAATCACGTAAAGCTGTCTGAAAGGTATGTGCCTCATTTGAGTCAGCGCCGTTCAAAGCTTGGGTTTGGTTACAGCCATATCTATATGCACGTGCATACACACACATATACACAGATACAAGTATAACTACATATAATTTCCATGTTGCAGCTATTACCTGCTCAGTGTATCTGCTTTTTATCTGCTAGGAGGCACCGCTGCCTATCTCAGTGACAAACAGCTGTGTTTAATGTCAATGCTGCAGAACAAATACAGCTGCAACTACCTGTGTCCTCACACTGTAAAAGTATTTGCTCACTCCTCTCTTGAGCTGGGTAACCTAGCAGCTGCAAAGCATAAAAATACATAAAAACATAGATTATTTTTCTGCATGCTGGCTAAAGTTCTGGGGCGGGGAGAAGGCAGAGAATCTACTGAAAGCTGACCTGTTGGCCCAGAAATGCCTCCTGTGTAAGACCTGTTGTTGACTGCACCGCCCTCAAGCAGAGCAATCACCTGCTGTATTGTACTGTGGCATGACTACAAAGGTGTAAACACGGAATTATCCAACCAAATAAACCAACTAAGAAGGTCATAGGGCTTCTCTAGACAAATGTAAGATATAATTTAAGACAGTGAGTGTCCTGAGAAGCCTTAAGACAAAAAGGCAAGTCTTCCTGCAACACAGCTTTCCCCAATAGCCACAGGGGTAAAACCCAGAGACTCCTCCCCTAAGGTCGTCTTCAAAAACTTTGTCTTCAATTGCTGTTTTATTTTCACATGCAAAAGTGGCCCTTGGGAACATCTCTGATAGAAGCTGCTCCTTTGTGCTGGGCACCAAATTTAGAAGCATCATTGCAGGCACTCCCTGTGCCTCACCACTTCCAGCTGCCACTTGAAGGCCATAGATCTAACCCACACTTACACACCTCAGAGAGAAGACAGCCTTGCAAACAGGCTGAATTCCCACTTCACCTTTTCCCACTGGGAGCTCAGACTCACCAGTGAAGCATCAAGCAACTCAGGAGCAATCTTGGACACAAAACATTGTTTCTGGTGATGCTATAAGCTGCTGCCCTTTCTTTGAGTGACTTCCACCAAACTCCTGCATAATCCTGCTTGCTCCTTCTGTGTTGCTGCTCTTCATTTTTAAAGGAATTCTTGCCTTCCTTTCTTCCTCTAGCTCATCTGTTTCAATGGTGGTGGTGTTCTCAGTGACAACTATTTCCTCAAACACATGCCTCAGCATACTATTAAAAATGGCCACAGCCAGAACAAATGCCCATTAAACATTATGTTGGGTGGCACTCGCTAGCAGAGGGTTGGGGCTGTCTTTTTCTGGCACATCTGCAGCCTCAGCAAGCTGGCACTGGCTGAGGGAGTACACCGA